TGACCGGAATCGAACCTGGGACCCTTCAGTCCGCAGGCCGACGCTCTATCCACTGGGCCAGCCCGGCCAGGGCGAGCCTCTGCTACTTTACGGGTTCCCATCTCACTGCACTCAAAGTGCTCTCGTGCTTCCCACTCAGTTCCCACACCTTTAAAGATGACCCTGCGATCTCCCGGTTTTACAGACGAGGAAGCTGAGGCTCAGGACAGTGAGGGAGCTTCCCCCGGGCGGGGCAGAGCCAGCCCCCCCACCCCCCGCCCCCGCTCCCTCTGCAGATTCCGGGTGTTGTGTGGGCTGGGCCCTCTGACCTGTGGGGGTCAGTCTCTTTGATGTCACTTGTGACCAGTGGGTGCTCAGGGCCCTGCCTTCCCTGGTTAGACCCAGGGGAGTGACTCGGGAGTCAGAAATAATGGTGATGAGCCCGGCCGGTGTGGCTCAGTGGTTGAGCGTTGACCTATGAACCCGGAGGTCACGGTTCGATTCCCGGGAGGTCAGGGCACATGCCCGAGATGCAGGCCCGATCCCTGGTGTGGGACGTGCAGGAGGCAGCCGATCCACAATTCTCTCTCATCATTGATGCCTCCATCTCTCTCTCCTCCCTTTCTCTCTGAAATCAATACAAATATATTTTAAAAAGAAAAAGAAATGGTGATGATCGCCACCTGGCAGCTTGGAGAAGCTCTGGGGTTGTCCTCTGTGCTCCTGGGCGCGGTGGCTCCGAGGACGTCCACCCCCAGTGGGTAGCGCAGAACCATCATCCTGGCCCAGTGCCCACGGGGCGGGGGGAGAGCCACCTCGGGCCTGCCCGGCCGGGGAGTATCCCGTCGCCCCATTCTTCTGGCTCCTCCGTAGCCTCCTGGTTGCAGTTTCGTTTCCTGGGATCTTGACTCCTGAGGGGCTGGTTTCTGTGGATGGATCACCTCATCGGTTCGCTTGATGTTGCCGGAGGGCGGGGGACTCGGTCAGCCTGGGGCGTGGAGTTAGGAGACCGGACGGCTGGCCTGCGTGTGAGCTGGGCCTGTCTCCTGGCGGGGGCACTGGCCGGGCGCTCCTTGCAGACAGCGAGGCCACCCACTGGCCCGTGTTGTGCACACCCCTCTGGCCGGCGGTAAGACACAGACTCACGGAAAACCAATGCCTGGTGTCCGGCTTCTTGGCCGCCTCACGCCTGGAAAGCGTGTGCTGATGATTCCATCCACAGACCTTGAGGGATGTGCTAGGTGCAGAGTGTTAGGTGTTCTAGGAAGAAGTGAAACATTAAAAACCGATTTGTATTACCTCCCCCCCAAAATAGTACAACCTGAGAAATGGCAGTGTGTCTGCGGACGCGGAGATCGGGGGCGAGAGCTCACCCTGATTCCGTTCTGTCACAGGCGTCCTGCCCCTGCACAGGCTTTCACAGAACGGAGCTGAGATCCCCTCCCTCACTCAGTGCCCGTGCTCGGGAAGGTCCGCGGGCGCAGTGACTTCGGGGCCTGGCAGTTTCCTGCTGAGCGCTAGCTGGGTTGACGATCCCCCTAGATCAGCGGTTCTCAACCTGTGGGTCGCGACCCCTTTGGGGGTCGAACGACCCTTTCACAGGGGTCGCCTAAGACCGTCGGAAAACACATCTATAATTACATATTGTTTTTGTGATTGATCACTATGCTTTAATTGTGTTCAATTTGTAACCATGAAATTGGGGGTCACCACAACATGAGGAACTGTGTTAAAGGGTCGCGGCATTAGGAAGGTTGAGAACCACTGCCCTAGATTTCCGGGTGATGATGTTGCGTGGCGCCGAGGGCTGTCAGACGTTGGAAATTCCCGTTATCTGGGAGAAATCCCAATTCCAGCCCGGTTTTTCGGCGAGTTACAGTGTGACCTTGAGAAATTGCTTCACGTGTTCGGAAACCTTGAGTCTGAGTCTGCCTAGTCCAGCAGAATGCATGTGTCTTGCTGGAAAGGGTTTTGAGCGCATTGAAGGGGTTGACCCTCCACATTTATTTATTTAAAAAAATATCGTTTTATTGATTTCAGAAAGAGAGGGAGAGGGAGAGATAGAAACATCACTGATGAGAGAGAATCATCCATCGGCTGCCTCCTGCACGCCCCCCACTGGGAATTGAGGCGGCAACCCGGGCATGTGCCCTGACCGGGAATCGAACCAGCGACCTCTTGGTTCCTGGGTTGACGCTCAACCACTGAGCCACACTGGCCGGGGAGTGTGGCTGTGTCCGTGTCCCAGACCCCTTCCCTCTGAGTTTCCCTTTTCCTTTGGAAATTCTCTCTGGGTTCCCTCGGCCATGGCCTTACGTGGATATGAGCAGTGCACAGTTCCCATTCGAAACTCTGTTAAAGGACTACAGTGGGGCCTTGACTTACGAGTGTCCCGACTAACGAGTTTTTCGAGATACGAGCCGTCTCTCGGCCTATTTTTTGCTTTGAGTTGCGAGCTAAAATTGGGGTTACGAGCCAGCTTCAGATACCCCACCGCTAGCTGGCGCAGCGAACGTCACAGTGAACGCCACAACATCAGCCCAGCATCACGTGTCTCACTCGTTCACTTTTTGATTTGACATACGAGTAATTTGAGTTACGAGCTCCGTCACGGAACGAATTAAACTCGTAAGTCAAGGCCCCACTGTATTAAAATACTGATTGATATCTCCCTTATCACAAAGTACACTGGCATCATCTAAAATATCACAAAGACAGCAAAAGGAAAGCGGAAGTTAATCAGACACAGAAAGAACTCAAAGACGACACACAGCTGTGTTAGCCCTGGCCGTTTGGATCCCCAGTCAGGGCACACGCCCGGCTTGTGGGCTGGATCCCCAGTGGGGGAGGTGCAGGAGGCAGCTGATCGATTGTTTCTCTCTCTCCCTCTCCCTTCCTCTCTCTCAAAAAAAACCCCCAAAACAAATCTTTAAAAATAAATAAATGAAACAAACAAAATTATGTTTAGAAACTAGGTCACTGGCCCCACAATAACTACGAGGTTATCAGCAAATGGGGCTGCTCCCCTCACTCACCAGGGCTGAGATGACCACCTTCCACCCGGGAGCTCCGTGGCTTCCTGGTCCCTTTCCTTCCGGCTCCCTGTCCCCATGGCCAGGGCCTTCCTATTCCCAGCACAAAGCCTCCCACGGTGGGTCTGGCCCCTCCCCTTTTCTCATTAAACCCCACACTTGCCGGCTTTGAGCCTTCCACCCCCTCTGCCCCTCGCTGACGCTCCATCTGGGAGGGCAGATCAGATTCCCAGCTGCTTCGCCAGGCAGGGTGATGTCCCCACCCTCCCCTGGCTTGGCCTGTCACCTCTGCTCGGCGAGAAAGCCTTCAACAGCAGTTTGTACGTCAGCGTCTTCACCTGTGAAGTGGGTGCTGAGTCTGTCGCCCTCATGGGCCTGTTGTGAGGCTGAAGTGAGATCATGCGGAAGATGAGAGCCAATGAATGAAGGTGGTGGTGGTGAAGGTACTGATGGTGTTAACTCCGGGGCCTCCTCTCCTTCCTCGCTCACCTGCCTCCCACCTCTGAGCTCTGCGTCATAGCGACGGACACGCACAGCAGTCTCCCTCTTGTCTGCTGTTTTGCTTTCTGCAGTCTCAGTTACCCACAGTCAACCGCAGCTCAAAATGTTAAATGGCCCTCACTGGTGTGGCTCAGTGGACAGACCACTGGCCTGCGGACTGAAGGGTCCTGGTTCGATTCCTGGCAAGGGCACATGCCTGGGTTGCAATCCCCAGTAGTGGCCATGCAGAGGCAGCCGATCAATGATTCTCTCTCATCGTTGATGTTTTTGGCTCTCTCTCTCCTTCTCCTCTCTGAAATCAATAAATAAAAATATTTTAAAAAAATATTAAACAGAAGATTCCAGAAACAAACAATTCACAGATTTTAAATTGCATGCCATTCTGGGTACCCCCCCTTATCTCATCATGTAGGTATTGTATCATCTCACATCACAGGACAAGGAGATACTTTGAGAGAGAGCCCACGTTCACATAGCTTTTATTTCAGTACTAGAGGTCCGGTGCATGACATTTGTGAACTGGGGGGGGGGAAGGGTCCCTCAGCCCGGCCTGCGCCTTCTCCCAGTCCAGGACCCCTGACTGCCAGCTTAGGCCCGATCCCGGGGGCAGCCAGACATCCCTCTTGCAGTCTGGTACCCCTCGCTTCTTACCACCTGCCTGCAGCGGAGGTGGGAGAGGCTCCCGCCACCACTGCTACGCTCGCCAGCCATGAGCCTGGCTTCTGGCTGAGTGGCGCTCCCCCTGTGGGAATGCACTGACCACCAGGGGGCAGCTCCTGCATTGAGC